TTCCTCGTTCTTCACTTGCAATCTTTATGTGTCCTTTTCAGTGAGGTATGTTTTTTGTAAGTAGCATATGGAGGGTTCCTGTTTTATTATCCATTCAGCCAATCTTTGTCTTTTAATTGGAGAGTTTTACCCATTTATAGTTAATATTATTATTGATGAATATGGGCTTATCCCTGTTATTTTGTTAGTCATTTTTTAAGTTGTATTTTGTATTGTATTTTTTTATTTCTGTTTATCTCTTTCATTTTCCTGATGTAGTATTCCTTTGAGTATTTCCTGAAGGGCTAGTCTACTATTGGTAAAATCTTTCAGCTTTTGTTTATCTGAGAATTATTTTATTTATCCTCCCCACTCAAAAGATAACATTGTTGGACTGAAATTTTTTTTTCTTTCATACATTTAAATATGTTTTCCCATCCTTTCCCTGCCTGCATAGTTTGAGTTGAGAGGGCTAACATTAACCTAATGGGATAACCTTGTAAATAACTTGACATTTTTCTCTTTTCATTTTTAGAATGTTATCTTTGCCTTTGCTTATTTATTTATTTATTTATACCAGTTTGGCTGTGATGTGCCTCAGAGAGGATCTTCTTATATTAAATCTTTAATGTCCGTTGCATTTCCTGACCCATCTGTCTGGATGTCTGGATGCCTCTCTGTATTTTGAACACGTGATATTGCATGAGGGATTTTCTCTGTTTTATGTTCTTACTTATCTCTTCACCTCCTACAATACTCATTACGTGGATATTCTGCTGCTTAATGGCATCTAGGATTTCGGTATCTGTATGTTGTCCTTTTCTTTATTTTATTTTGTTTTTGTTTTATTAGGTTTTTGCCATAGGGTACTTGTGCTCACCAGAAAGAGACAAAGAGAGACCGTGAGAGGGAAAGTCAGAAATCATCCCCTAGGGGCATGGCCACACCACAGTCCTCTCTCCCCCATCCTTCTCCTGGTATTTTGGGTACACGTGCCCATGTGCTCAGTGTGATTTTCAAGCCGCCTGGTCTGGGACTCAAACCGCAGTCAGCCATGTGGGAGTCTAGAACCTTGACTACCACGTCACCTGTTGGCCCTGTTTTTCTGATTTTAGTGAGTGGATTTTTTTCCGCATTCTTTTTGGTGGCTTGGACTAAATCGGAGGTGTTGTCTTCAGGGTAGAGATTCTGTATTCTGTCCGGTCTAATTTTGTAAACTCTTTTGAGGGAAGCTTCAATTCCTGTACTGTATTCTTCATCTCTAGATGTGCTGTTTGACTCTCTTTTAGGGCGTCTGTCTCTTCATGGAGTTCCTCCTTCAAGTCATGGAATGATTTTCTCATCTCCTGGAATTGGTTGTCTGTTTTCTCCTGCATCTCATTGAGTTTTGTTACAGTGAATATTCTGAATCCTTTTCCTGATATTTCTGTGAGGTCTTGTGTTTTATCCATTGTTGGTGGGGAGTTATTCCTTGGGATGAGATATTTCCTGGTTTCTTCATGTTCCTTGGAACTCTGCTTTCATTTGGAGGCATCTGGTGGAGTCCTCACTTCTTCCTACTTTGGGAGTAGGTTTCTGTAGCTGTGTGCTCATGCCCTTCCCTGCAGTGTAGGGTAACTCCGTGCCACGTTCCTTACTCTCCTGTGGGTTTGGGGGTGCTAGAACCCATGGGCATTTTGGGGTTCAGGTCTTTGGAGGGGACTTTCTGTCCCATTTCTCCTACGAGGTTGGGGTAGGAGAGAGTTCTTCCTGAGTCTCCCTGTCTCTGGACAGGCGGTTCCTCTCCCAGCCTCTCTGATCCTAATGTGGCTGGGGTTGAGCCGGGGGGCACACAGGTAGGACGAGTGTACCTCGTGGTGCACTGCACTGGGCACTGGGCGGACCCCTACCAAGGCTCCTGCTGCCGTGGGGGCTGCCCGTACACAGTGTTTCTAATGTGCAGATCATAACCCCAACACGGCAGTCCCAAATGCCATAATCCCGAATGTTGAAGTCTTGCAAGATCAAAATCCCTAAAGTCTAAAATCCCTAAGGTCAACCGTACTCAAAATTACAATCCTGAAAGATTAAAACCCCCCAAAGCACAATTTCCACTGGGGAGCAGGGGAGAGAAAGCCTGGGTAAGAGGAATAGAAAGCCGAAATCTAGGAGGAATTGGCGCGTTTTGGCGCGTTGTCATCTGTTTCAGGTATTTTTTGCCCAGCTTTCTCTGTGGAAGGTCATACCACCGTGCTGCCAGTGGGCAGGCCTCACGCTGTGTATGAAAACGAGGTCCCTCAGGAAGAAGAGATGTCCTTCCTGTACATCTGCGTCTGTGAGAGTCCATTTGTCGAGGTCCCAGCTCTTTGGCTGAGAGCGTAGGTGGTGTCACCCACTGCAGGTTTTGACCCAGGTTGTCCAAAGACTTAGCTTGTCTCCACAGCAGTTCAGATGGCTGCGTTTATGAGGGGTGCGCAGGAAGGGCAGCCGTGGGGCAGGCCTCTCCGCAGCGTGGTTTTAACCGGCTCCTAGGCCTGTCTGCTCACAGCTGTCCACCTGCACGACTGCCCTTCCTACGCCTGAGCGTCTGCCTGCGAAGTGTGTGCGTCGCTGCCTGCTTTATTGTGTATTGTGTTTTTGTGTTTCTGAAATAAATTACCTTTTAAAATGTAAATAAATGTCTTTTACATTTTTTAAAATAATCTTTTCCAGATTTATATTTTTGAGATTTTGACTTTTCAGAACTTTAGGCTTTAGGGATGTCAATCTTTGAGGAGGTCAGTGACTTTGGGGACGGTGCTGCTTAAGAAGGTGTCTTTCAGGATTTCAACCCAGATCCCTTTGGGTGATGTGGTGGATTATTGGAAAAGTCATGATGTATTGTTTTTTCTATGGAAATATTTAAGAAATCTTTGCTAATCCAAAGTCATAAAGATTCTCCTCTTTCTTCTATAAGTTTTTTGTTGTTTTATTTTGTTTGGTTTTGTTTATTAAGAGAGATTTTTTGCTATAGGATGCATGTGCTTGCCAGAAAGACAGAAAGTGAGAAATCACCCCCTAGGGGCATGGCCATCCCACAATCCCTTCTCCTCCATTCTCCTCTTGGGACGTGGGGCACCCACACACACGCACCAGGTGTGAGTTTTAAGCCACCAGATCCAGGACTCGAACTGTGGTCAATGACATGGGAGTCCAGTGATGTAACCATTATGCCATCTGCCAGTCCCTCTTCTGTAAGTTTTATACCTTTCAGCTGTACTACAGATCTGTGATCCATTCTGAGATCTGCGGGGGGTGTGGTATAAATGTCAGCTGTGGGTTGAGGCCATTTTCTGCGTGGGGACGGCTGAGTGGCTGGCGTGCCGTGTTGAGGCAGTGGCTATAGTGCAAGAGTGCGTGGCCGGTGCTCGCTGAGAGGCAAGCAGGAGGACGGGCCCCATGTCCCACCTGGGCACCAGCCCTCGGACTCCCTTGTCAGAGCCAGGCCGTGTGGCCCTGTGGTTACCGTTGAACCCCTGGATGAGAACGAGATTACCGTACAAGCACGGGTGGCTTGAATTTGCTCCAAGCAGGTGCCATCCCCGCCTTCACTGTCAGACGTCACAGGGTGGAGCCCCCGCGGCCCCTCAGGCTCCTTCGATGTCAGAGCAGGAGGAAGCCCGGCTAGAGGGTTTCTCAGCAGAGTCTGGAAGTGAGAGGGCTGGGTGTCTGGCCCCGTGTGAGCAGGACAGCTGGGAACGCCGAGCCTGCCGGCGGGGGGACTCACTCTCCGTCCACGCAGCTCCGTGCAGCCTCTGTCCCGAGAGTCTACTTCCGAGATGTCTCTCCCTGGGGGAAAGAAACGGTGGACCAGGCTTCAGCCCATGGCTGTGTTTGGGATGGCACAAAGCTGGGACTAGCCTCGGTGCCCAGAGGTGGCACACTGCATGCTGGGTGGGCCTGCTGCGGCAGAGGTCCGCTGGGCGGGCAGGGTGCACCAGGGCGGGCAAGGTGGCCCAGTGGGGAGAGCGGGTCAGGCAGTGCGTCTGTGCAGCGAGGCGTGTTTGAACACGGGACATGTTTGCGTGTGCACCTCTCTGCTTCGTGTTTTCCAGAATGCCTGGCCACCCGCTCCGTCTGCATGCCCTTGATCCCTGCGCTGCTGGGCCGGGTTTTACTTTAATCAGAACTCCTGCCCTCTCTCCCACTGGACTCAGGTCCACTAAGGAGGAGGAGCTGGGGGAGGGCCGGCTGGGGGCTGCTGGCAGGGAGGGGACCCGCAGGGACGGAGGCTCAGGTGCCTGCGGGCAGATGGGTGGCGGCCCTGCCATGGCTGCCGGTCTCTGTCCAAGTGTGTGGCTGTGGGTGGGCTTCCACAGCTCCGGCCACGTGCCCCGGCTCCCCGCCATCGCCATGGGCACCTGTCTGCAGAGGGCTCCTTGGGGACCAGCAGGTCTGTCATTCGTATTAGTCGTAGTTCCCTTGATTAAAGCAGCGTTTTAGGCAGAAGGCCCCTTGTGTAATAGGTACACGTAGCCGCGCCCGGTAAAAGGGGGTGGTGGCCTGGAACCCTGGTTACAGGGACCCCCCTCGCCACTCTGCATGTGCACACTGAGCCTCTGGCTCTCCTCTGAGCTGTCTGGCCAAGGGATAATTGGTGGCCAGGAGTAATTACGAGGCCACTGGAGCCCCCAGCCTGGGTGACCCCTGCTCACCTCCCAGCCCACACCCAGCTGAGGCCCTGGTTCCGCAAGTGCATGGTTCCAGCCGTTTTGTGCAGCCCGTTGTGTGTGTGCAAGGGCAGTGCTCGCAGCACGGAGGACGGCATGCAGCAGAGCTTGGGCACAGACTCAGGCCTCCAACCTGTGGGCCTTGCAGAGGTCGGTCGGACTGGCCGCTAGCTGCTGACAGAACAGGGAAGGGGCGTATGGCAGGGCCTGGGCGCAGAGGCCGGCACTGCAGGAGCTGGCGCGGTGTGACTTACCGGCCAGGGTGGCAGGGTGACTGCTGTGGCCGCAGGACCTCGTGGGGAGGGGAGGAGCTGGCGGGACAGTGGTGGCGCCATGGGAGGGCGCGGGGGCCTGCACAGCTGCCCCACGCGGGCGGCCGCAGTTCACACCCATTCTCCGAGTACGTGGGGCACGCACGCCTGCCTGTCATCCAGGCCAGGGTGAGACGTGGCCTCAAAGCCCTGTTGGAGTGCCCCATCCCCCTGACTCACGGAATAAATACGCAGACTTAAACAAAGAGAGGGTGAGTGTGGGCAGAGGGGCAAGCGGGCTGGCGGTGGGAGGGAGGAGGGGAGCAGAGGAGAGTCGGGGGGCGGGGAGGGGCTGTCCGAGGTTGGGGTGACTGGCTCTGTCCCAGCACCTGCCCCAGCACCTGCAGGAAGCCCGTGTCTGTTGGGATGAGGCTGCAGCGGGGCGGCTCACCCCGGCCCCACAGGCAGCTTCCTGGTGCCCTACGTCATCATGCTGTTCGTGGAGGGGATGCCGCTCCTGTACCTGGAACTGGCGGTCGGGCAGCGCATGCGACAGGGCAGCATCGGCGCCTGGAGGACCATCAGCCCCTACCTCAGCGGTGTCGGTACGTGGGCCTCCCGCCTCCCACGCAGAGACCCCCTCTGTGCCCTGGGTGCATGTGGCGGGGGGGGCCTGGGCTCCACCACTGGCTCCAGGCCCGGCTCAAGGCCCGGAGAGAGGCCTCGGCTGGCAGACAGAGGGCGTGGAAGAGGGGCTGGGTGTCCCACCGTCAGGGGTGGCACGGGGGGCAACACCCCTGGGTGCTCCTCCCCTGCTCCCGCCTGGCCATCTGTGAAGGACCATGACTCAGAGTCCTAGCTGGCAAGTCCCTGGGGGGCTCTCAGGCTGCCCCACCCACGAGCCCCTATGTGAACCTACTGTGTGGGTGCTGCCACACTGCACAGGTGCCGAGCCCATCAGCGCCCCCTCCCCACTGGCCGCGGGGCCATTGACCCCTCCGGGGGACAGAAGCCAGGCACACCAAGAGCAAGGAGCTGCTGTGCTCATGCCCCCACCTCCAGGCAGGGTCCTGTCACCCTGCCACGCACAGCCACCATCCAGGGCTGCCCCTACAGCGGGAAGAACTCTGCCCAGCTATGCTCATCCAGAGAGGAGGGCTGGCAGAGCAGAGGGACATTCCAGAAGCCCAGAGGCGGTAGCTTGCATGTGGCCTGGCCTCGGGTGCAGGAGAAACGTGCCCAGCAGCCTCCCAGACCACCTCCCTGCCCAAACTCTTGGTCTTGTGGCTATTAATGTTTAACACAGAAGCCTGTGGTTTTACAACCTGCCTGAGTAAGCAATCACAGAGGGCCTCTCAGAGGAGGCATTTGCTGCGTTATAGGAAAGATACCAGGTGTCCTTGCCAATCAGGGAGGAGCTGGTAAATGTTTGACAGCCACTCTCAGAGCAGGTGGGGCTGGGGAGGCCCTGGCTTGCAGCTTTTGCCAATGCCTGTGATGTAAATACTCCCACCACGTCCGATTTATGTTACTAACGAGGTGCCCCAGCAGGCGGGGATGGGAAGAAGTGGAGACAGTGGCTCTCCGGGGCCAGCTGGGCTGCCTTGGGCACCACAGGTGGCCCACCCTCTCTGTTCCCGGCTCCCACCCTGGCTCCCTGCAGGCCCCACCGCTCCTCACACAACTCCCCCAACCTCGCCTGCCCCTGCTCAGAGCAGTTTGGCACGAGGGACTCCAGCTCCGGTGAGCCAAGGAGAGAGCACCCGCGGCACGGAGCGGCCAGGGCTTCGCACGCGAGGCTTGGAACCTCGCTCGGCCTCTTCCTGCTCGTGGGGCAGGCCGCGCCTGCTTCCTCTCCTGGGAATGGGGAGAATGCCATCATGAGGCCCACGGCACAGACCGCACTTAGAGAACCAGGCGCTGCCACTTGACCTGTGATGGCCACCTGCCCCACACTTAGAGGGGGGGTCGGGGACCAGCCCCTGTGGCACACTCCCAGACACGCGAACCTGGGGCAGGGGGCTTCCGCCTCCCAGGACGGTCCTGCAGGTGCCCCTGGGAGCGTGTGTGGGTGGGCTCGCCCTCAGCGCCACCCCGGTCCCGCAGGCGTGGCGAGGGGCGTGGTGTCCTTCTTTCTGTCC